GATTCCATAGATGTTAAAAACTGGTTTCAGCCTCCTTTCAAGAAAAAAAAAATTCCACTGAAATTAAAATGGCTGAGAGCACTTGAGGAGCCCATCTCTAATGGGCTGCCTCAAACTCTTACAGCTGTAGGAAGGGAGCAGGTTCCCAGACATTGTCCATACCCAGATCCACACAAACACCCTTATGGGACCAGCCAGCCTGAAGTAGCACTGGAGGGGGCCATCATGTACAAATTTCTGATTCCTAAAGGTTCTTTATTTAATTCTGCCATGTTTTTTGAATGGCTTTGAATGGCTGGATCATCACAACTCTTTCCTGTATACAGCTGGGTCTGGCACATGGTCACTCTTCTTGCCTTCATGCACACAAGCACTGAGCTCCTCTCCACTCATTCCATCAGACCCAAGACCATTCCTTCTCTCAGCCAGCAGAGAATTGGGTGGAGAAGGAGTGACTGTTCAAGCCCCAAAAGCAGATAATTTACTGATGATTCACCCCCTAGCACTGGCTTGCTGTCTGAGGATGGGCAGCACTAGTTGGTGGAAAATGTGGAGATGCACTAATGCAGGTCTGCCTCTTTCTGGGACACTTTGCCATGAGCTGACTTTCCCCTGTTTTGAAGCTGTAGCTGTCATCCCCTGCTTCTCCCAGTGTATTTCTTTCTTCTCTCTGAACTGATGCACTGGGACTCTTCTACACATCTCCTGCACAGGGCTCTGTGGTAGTCCTGCACAGCTAGGAGTCATCCATGAGGTGCAGCCTCTGTATGGAAGGTATCTAAGAACAAGTTTTTGGATCCTCTACCTTGCATACAGAGGTTGGGAAACAGCTGCACATGGGTAATGCCTGCAACCACCTGGGAATTTTACCAAATCCAGACTTCCACTTTCCCCTATCTAAACTCTAGTTGTATCTCCTGGCTTCAGTGTCACTATTTTCAGCATATGCTGTCTTCCAGTGACATCTAGGGATAGGGACTGGAAATCACAAGCTGGACGCTTACATAGGCATTGCTTAAAACATCTTTCAAACTGATAAAACTTGCTTGTTTGATAAGCCAAAAGACTTAAGGAACAATTGTAATTAATATCAGGTGAAAAGAATCTTCCATGTTTTGCAGGATTGAATTGATGCTCCGGGGCCCATTCCTTGACTCATGTGCATCATCATTAATTGCATGAAGTGTCTACAGAGACATGGCATTAACTGGCATAACATTTTGCCCTGGTACAAAGAATACAAGCAAGGTGAAGGTACTTTGGTACTAATGACAAAACACATGAAAAGGAAAATGTCATCAGGAGGACAAAAACACTTTTGAGGTCAAAAGATCAAACAAGTTTCTTTAGTAGCTGGATCCATTATTTACTTAGTGCTATCACTACTAAATTACTCATTACATTTATGTATCAGTCCCCTGATCGCAGAGAGTCCCTGTGCTCAGTGGTTCACCTACACAGGGCTAAGATATGGCCCCTGATCTGGAGATCTTACCTGCAGGACAAGGCAGAACTGAAGGATGGAGGCAGTAGAGCAGAGGGAGTGGTGGCCCAATCTACACTGCTTTGCAACCTGGCTTTGTGTTAGACTTCAATTCACAGTGTTCAACAGCTTATCCATGCAAGATCAAAGCAGAAGCAGCAGCAAGTTTTCCCACTGTACCTTCATTTCTTTATGGAACACAGGCAGACTTCCTCCAGAGCATAACCAGGGACAGCCAAGCAGGATTAGACAGAAACCCACTTTATGCCTGTGTAATATATCACATGAAAGATGCAGAAATGTATAAGGTGACTCTTTCAAAACAGGCTTTGTATGTTTTGAAACACATACATAACATACATATTGTATGTATGTATGTATGTTATAGTCTACATCTGCTCTGGATTTTCTCTGAAAATCTATATTTCCTAGGTATTTCCAGCCCAACAGCAAAAAGAATTCTGAGCTAATTCATGCCTGGACCTTTGCAGAACCTAAAAAAAATACACCTCTTTGATGGCAGAAGGAAATGTAGAACATATCAGAAAAATGACATCAAGAGAAGTGTTTATACATGCATAAGAGGTCTGCATGTCCAAAATCAAAATATTTAAATATGCTCACATGGGCAAAAATGTGTAGAAAGAGTGGGGACAGAGGCTAGCTGCTGGTTTTCTAAGAACTTTTGGTCTGAGCAAATGAAACTGTGCCACCTATGGCCCAAATACAGTGAATAGAAAAAATTCAGCTCAAAAGTAGAGGTCAAGTTAAATTTTTAAAAATAAAAGTCAGTGGATGCGTTGCCAGTATCAGCACCACAAGACATAATCCTGAGAAGAGGGTCTATCAAATGCTATTAAATCCAGGGCAATTTCTCTTGGTAAGTGTATGCGAAATAACTGAGAAAAAAACCCATCCCTTTGCCCCCAGCAATCATTTTGTCAGACCACTACACCACTAGAGAAAGCACCAACCCTTTTGTTTCTGGTTTTGCCGCGGCTGTTGTTTCTATCCAACAGCCGTGTTGCTCAGCAGCCAGAGCTGGTGGCCTGTCCTGGGGCAGTCACAGGCAATTTGCATTTTCCTAGTGCCCATCAGAACACCACCAGTTGCAGCAGGGTCTCAAAAAGCTTCCAGATGAGGACTTGGGAGAAAGCACTGAAAAGGAACTGAAATGAATGCAGTATGAACTCTTGTGGGCAGGAAATGCCTCTTAGGGGAATATAAGATAGGCATCAATTTTAAAAGCCTCATTGCAGAAATATAACAACTAACTCATTAACTTGGAAGATCCTTACGTTGTCTCTTTATACTCAGTTGTTTAAGCTAAGCTTTCCTTTAAAGCTCTCCTAAGGTCTTCCTCCTGAAAACATACCACAATGTGAATATTATTAGTCTGAAATAAAATTGAGACAGCCAAGAAAATACTAGAAACTAATAGGAGACTAAAGACCACCTCCTGTGATTTAGGTGAATGTTGGCCTTGATGATTTGTGGTTTTATTCCTGTAATCTCTACAGCAAACAAATTACAATTTTCCCCCTTAAGAGGGTACTGCCCTGAAGTTAGAATGTTACTTTCATCAAACAGAAAAAAAGTAATTTAATTACTAGAGGGACACAATAATGTCTGTTTCTGCGTGGCCAGGTCAATCCCATGACCAGAACACTCTGATACTTTGAATTTACCACCAGAGGCTCAGCTGAGTATCAATCTGAACCACTAGAAGCAGCAGCCAAGACTCGGAAATAGCACTGGTGCTTTTGCACAGTGTAAACACAAGGCAGCAGATGCTGCCACGTTCAGGCTTGGCTTCAGGTGGCAGCAACTTGAAGGGCTCTGCCTTGCTTTGCATGGAAGCAGGGTGCAAACACTGCCTTCCCTCAAACTCTCCAGATCTGATTTTAATCTTCCATAGGGTTACCAAAGGATGATCTAGCTGTAAGCTGATTTAAATCACTACTGGAACTGACTTCTATTACTAGGACAACTGAAACAATTTGATGACCCCAAGAGATGACTCTCCCCTCAGTATCCTCAAACACAACTTAGCACAAATGGCAGCGATGGGTGATGACTCCAGGTCCAGCTGCTTTCAAACAGAACAAAGTTCACAATATTTTTAATGAAGCAAGACCATTACTAGACAATCAGAAAGTTTCTCCATGTCACTGCAACAATCTTACTGAAAAGAAAGGCATTTAAGCACAGAAAATACTCTTTGCTCAATATTGCATGTAAGCAATTCATACTGAATTCTCACTCACATAATTTATTTTAACTAATGTATGGATTAATTTATGGGTTACTATTTACTAAAGGAACCTGGACAGTGTTTTTGTTCTGTACCTTGAAATTCATCTCCAGATGTGCACTCTTGGTTGCAGGTGTAGGTCACAGACACGGTGTCAGAAAGTGACAAGTATCAGATTGCAGGGCCATCTTTCTCTGGAGTGACCGAGCACAGGTGTGCTCAGACCGATGTCTGCTCACTGGGGTGTAGCCAGGAGCCATCCCTTCACAGAAATTTCTCTGGCAGAGAGTAGCTAAAGGCTGCTTCCTCTATGACAGGGGCTGCCCCTCAATAAAGCTTTCCAGCAGGATCCTTGGGAATAGACAATTTTAACCCTTCTTACCCCCAAATTATTGTCCAATTATACATCAGTGCATTTATGTAATTTGCTGGCTCTACCTAAAAGGGCAACCTTCCATTTGTGGGAGAACCATTTAAACAGCTCTAGTACAACCCCTTCCCTAGGGTCAGCAGTCCTGTGATAGCCAGGGCTTGTCTGAGAGTACTGCGGGAAGAGAGCTGTGTCCATGCCTGATGGTGAGAGGGATCACAAACACTGCTGACAGCTAAATCCTCTCAGTGAGGAGCAGGACCATTCCACTTGGAACCACATCTGCTGAATTCAGCTACTCAGAAGTCAGAGAGCTGAGCCTAGATCATGTATTGTGTGGGTTTTCTGATTTGGGGATTTTAATTTATTTTTTTTTGTTTTTTTGTCATAATCCCAGCAAAGATGGGTTGTAAATAAAATAAAGAGAAAAATAAAAATAACCCCATTTATTGTATACACAAGTCCTTTTAATCAGGCCCCAAATTCATTTCAGAAATGTGCTGTCACATTTCACAGATGCAAGATATTCTGAAAGAGCTGAAACCAAACTTGAGCACATTTCTGATTTTATCCTAAAATACCATACATTCTGTTTATTCAAGAAATCAGATGATCCTTTTCTACCCAAAGTTTTACACCTCAAGCCAATACAAGCAAATCATCTTGTTTTAGAGCCACAACATTCTAGGACAAGTCAAAGTATTTTTAAGTTGGTTAATACAGATTATGTTAGAATTTTAAGGGAGGAGATATGAAATCAAAGCTGATTTTACAAGAGGATCACACACATTTCTAATAAATTGTTACTTTTATCTTCCACAAAAAAAAAAAAAGACAATTTCTCCTTAACAACAGCATAAAATTTCATTTGCTTTAGAAAAGCATACATAAAATAAAAGACTTTTTTTGTCTCAGCTTTGTAGCAATACTTCAATACAGGTTGTTCATTAAGAGATCAATGACAGGCACGTAGCAAATTTAAAAAAGGCAAGCCAAGTACAAATCCTCTTTTGAGATTATTTTTGTATTTTTAATCTAAATGGGAAACAGTAGGCATGAAACATCTATACAGCAAACATGAAACAGCTATGCCATTTTTCCCTTAATGATCTCAAGAGCTTTTAATCTGGCAACTGGAAAACAACCTTCATGTTGCCATGCCCAGGGGACAGATTCCTGACTGAGTATGGATGTAGAAAGTCATAGGTACTTAAATACACAAAACCCTCTAAGCCCTTCCAATTTCCAACTCCCCAGTGTCAGCAGCACATTAGTTAAAAGAATGCTCAGTGATACTGATCAACACTGAACAGATACAAGGGACAGTAACTCCTACAGCGTCTTAGGGTGAGCTGTAAAAAACACCTCCCTCCTGTTTTAACAGCTTAAATATCAATCCTGTACACATATTTACAGAGTGTGAGGAAATATTCAGCCACTTAAAGATGTAACACATAGATTCCATACACTAGAGCCTTGCAGAAGGATTAAGGAATTAATTTCTGACTGGAACTCAAGGTACATCTGGCCTATACTGCAAAATTAGAGTACTACAGCCTGTAAGAGTGCAGCACATCAGATAAAATTAAAAAAGCCTACAAACAGGGTATGGCATTACAGCAGGGGATATCTGATTACTGCCTGACTGTAAATAACACATGCATCTTCAGGGCAACTGAAGATGTACCAACTATAAGCAGGATGGCAGTATAGGAAAAAAATGAGGAGTTCTGTCTAATTGTATTTCAAATATTTGAAACTTAAGTTCAATGACTTAGTATTTTACAGTTTTATAACGGCTTTGGATGTACATAGAGCCTTAAATGCCAAACTTTCAAGATATCTAACTAAGATTTTTAAAGATACAGAGAGAAACAATGATGTTACGGAGGTCTTCAGTCCAGGGATCTAAGTTAATGGAAACAAACTTCAGATATAAACTTATTTCCTAAGACTATTTACTAGTTCCCTCCTTCCCCTCCAGAGAAGCTCTCCAAAACAAAATCTTATTCATTTTGGCTGTGCAAAAATGGAGTTCAGGAATAAAGGTTCAAGCAAAGCCACCGAAGCAATGATTAGCATGCACACACAGCCCAGGCACTCCTTTTCAGAGGTTACACCACTCGAGAATTATCTGGCCATAATCGTGCTCCTCATGCTCATCTCTGAGACACAGAGTCAGATTTAGCAGACCATGGGTGACAGTCAAGGGCCTGATAGCTCAGACAGTAAGAAGTAGGCATCTTACAGACTTAAATTATTAAATCTCATATTCTACAAACAAGAACTGCCAGAAGCATTTGGGAAGCGAGGGTTGCATTGCTCCTAGCTGCATTAAGTAGATGTAGACTCAGAACAGACAATTTAGTGAATTTATTTATGCAACACCTTACTCCAAGGTATCAGCTCAGAGTCAGCTAGAACAGTCTAATAAAACTATGCACAAGGCTGTGAATTCAAAACAAGTTTCTACATCCAATAACACCTTGAGATTAAGCCTAAGTATCACTAAGAAGGAAATCTTGATTGGTAGGTCTGAAGGACCCAGACTTCACAACAGTCCACCAAAAAAACACCATTTTTTGCAGTCTGAGCCTGGCCAGCCTCAAGTCCTACTAGTGGACTTCAAAAGAGTTTCTATTATAAGCTCCTTTTTACTGCCTTGACAATTATGGGCCACATCCTTCAACATTTTTTAACGTATTTTGGAATAGATAAAAAGATTGAAACCTGCCTTCATTCTGAAAACAGATTTCTGTGGCAGCACTTTAAACAGTTATTTTCCAAAGCCTTCATTTTCAGCATTTTTAAAACATAGATATGTATTCCAAGGAAGTTTAGCTTTGACAAAGAAGTTTCAGAATAAGATGACAAAACATGATATTCTTGAAGCCTTTCATCTACAACATACAAAAAGATTTGGGCTTGTAACAAAGCTAATTACAATCTTAGAAACACTGTTTTAGTTTAAAACACTCATGGTCAAAAATTTCTGCTTTCCTTCTAGAAAGATTAAAAACTTCAAATGTGTTACGTCTTACTCCATCTCCCTATACTTTTGCCTTTCAAAGGTCAAAACATAAGCATCTTCACCCAAGGCACCCATGAATTGCGAGGTTCTTCTTATTATAAAGGATTTTTAAATGAGGAGGAAGAAAAACAAATATTTTTCTTACTTATTCCAAGCAGAATGACTATGGAGAAATGACTCAAGCTTAGGTAGTAAAAGTTAATGGGATGCCATATGAAATGAAGACTGACTCAGTAACATGAGACCTGCTAGTCATTAATCTTCAATTCAAAGCCCACTAGAAGTACTTGTATAATACCAGCAAAATAGAAGGTACTGCTTGCTTTTCCTCTTGGGCAGGAGAACAAGCTTTAAATAAGAGCATCAGTTTTTCTGCCATGTGATAAAAAGATAATCACTAATTTCTATGTACCCCCAAAAGACTGATTACTTTAGTAGTTAAGAATCAGGACTAGGTAAACTTGCAGTAGAATGACTTTATTCTGCTCATCTGCAAGACTTGCATAAGATTTATTTTTGGATTTCCATTTGGTATGTGGGTATTTTGAGCTTTGCATGAGGCATTTCCTCCTCCTGAACGTATTGCACCTTAACTGTATACAATCTTCTGGAGCATCCTTTCTCTGGAACAGATAAGATCTGTAACATCAGGCAGAATTTGTGGAGATTGAGTGACTGGAATTTTACAAGTGGAATTGTCTAGACCAGGCGGAGAAAGGAATCGTCATATAATGCTCCCCTAATTGTTGCTAGTGCCTTAAGGGTTCATTTCTGAACTCAAAAATCTAAAAAAAAAGAAAAAAAACCCAGTTCAAATAAGTTAAATTTGAAACATTTCTGTTTAGAAAGGCAAATATGAATAGGAAATAAAGTACAGATACATGTGATATTATATAATAAGTTTTGCATAATTCTTTACTACTTTAGGTAGTAAACAATTATTTTAGCAATTTAATAATTTTCCTTTTCTGGCTAAGTTATTACTAAGCCTTAGCAGTAAAGAAATATCTCTTTCTTTCTTTCCAGAGAATACATGATATGACATGAAGTTTTTTAAACATTTCCCACTATTGTAATGGTTTTGCAACTCAGCATGGTCTGAATTGTTTCAGAAAAAAAATTCCATGTCTACCTCAAAAGGAAGACAACATCTGCTTGTTTCACCAAGTGAATTAATTTCATTCTTCATGAGACACATCCTACAAGCAGAACAGGAAATGCCTACAGCTAACTAAAGCTAGCTGAAAGGCATGGTGGAACAAACCTAATGTAACCTCCAGTAATGCTGAAATAATTGCCTTCTAGAAAAATCAGCCTTTTGTAGCAACACCTAAACTCTATTACAAAACCCTCCATGTCAACCATCAGTCCTAGGAGGACTTTTCATAACAGGGAAGAGGTTAGTGTAGGTCCTGCTCCCTTCCCTGCTCCTGCAGCTAGCACTACCAGCTCAGTCAAGCGCTCTGCTTGCCATGGCACAGTCATGGCAGAAGCCAACACATTGCCTTTTCCCTGTACTCAGTGACAGAGGAGATACATCCCATCCACTTCCTTTAAATGTTTTGGGACTTTTGTCCAAAAGTTTTGCTTTGAGGAGCTCAGCTTGTTTTACCCCCACTTTGTTTCACATTAATTCCTCATAATCACTGCAATAAATTTTAGAGAAGATCCAGTTACTTACACAGCAAACAACTGATGTCTTATTATGCTGCTACTAAGGTACACCTACAGTACAGGCTTTTAAAACACTAGTCTTACAGCTACAGGGTAAGATCACATCAAGCTAATCTACTGATTAATCAGCTAGTACTTAATCATGTAAATTTTCCAATTTCTTCAATCAGCAGTGAATTAACACTTGCCACAAAACAGTTTAGCCATTCCTCAGCAAGGCTACAGTGCTAGTTTAAAACTTAAGCTAAAGCATTTCAAATATCCCAGAAATTATATGAATAAACTTTTATTTTTAAGCAACAACACACACTATTTGAATAAAACTCACACATTTAACTCAGGTGGAGAGTACTAAACTGAACAATCATTGCTAATACATTTCCATTGGAAATGTGTTAAAGTTCTCAAGGGTCTTCATTACCATCTTACTGAAGTTTTCTTATGTGTCTCTAGCCTACACACCACCTGTTTCATGCAGTCATGCAAATCAAATTGTAAATGTTCAGGTAGCAGGGAAGTCCATTCACTGCAAAGACTCATTCTTCACTGAAGAGCCAGGATAGGCAAGACCAATACTGCAGGATTCTTCATAAGAGTACAGGTTAGAAACCATGAACTTTCAGTTGTTCTTCCTTGACAATGCCAATCTAAAGGAGAGAAACAACACATTTTAGTAAAGCTTATATATTTAGGCTCTTATAGCGAAATCAAGTTACCCTAATCTTACACTTTGATTAAAGAAACTGCTATACAATGTATACACTCAATGAAACATTTTTTTAGTTTACAGAATGTTTCTGGGCCAAGAGGGAGAATTGACTGAACAAAAAGAAAATCTTATCAGACATCCGTTATTCTTTGACGGTGTAACAACTCTGCATCATCATTTGCATCAGAGTAAGCCTCTTTCCTCCACAGTGTTTTCAGTCTCACGATTATGGTTTGCATTGAACGCTTGATTTTACAAGCACAGAGCTCAAGTTGCACTGTCAGAGAACAAGAGGCATGTTGTAACAGTGCAAAGGCATTCTACAGTGCTTTGATTCTTACCAGAGGCTTACTCTCATTCTGCAAGTATCATTTTACTTTCTGGCTGAAAATACAAAAGAACTACAGTGGTCATCTTTAGCTGGTTAATTAGCATCAGTACCACCTGTCACCCTAGTGCTTCCAGAGAGGTTCAGATATTTATCTGCAGTCCCTCACCTCCAAGAGGAATTGGCAAATGTTTTTCCTCTGGTCACCTTGCAGCTGGATAACTTCACCGTACTCAGGATGTTCAATCACAGTACCATTACAAGCGAATTTCTAAGAGAGAAACATCCATATTATAAGACATCTGATGTAAGTCATGATTTTGCTTAGTCAGTCTTTTCAGAAGAACTTTGTCTCAGAAGCTGCTTACTATTTTGATACCAAGCCAGGCAAAGGTTAAATCAATTTTACTGGCTCTGAGAGGAAATGGAATATATCTGCTGATACAAACATACACAAACGAAACTGCTGATGGTAAATTCAGCAGTGACAGGATTAGCTACTGTGCAGAAGGAAATGGTCAACAATTATGGCAATAATGAAAAACGAAGTCATAAGATACAGCCTCTCAACTTCACACTATTTAAAAATAATTATTGTTATCTTGGCAAAACTAAAGGCCTCTATTTTCAGCAACAACCCAGCTGTAACAGAGGCAGGAATAAAAACCAGCTCTACTTTAAACTGATTTTATTTTTCACATCAAAAAAGCCAAGTATCTGTGAAAATTTAAACACTCAAAATATATTTTATTTGCTTCTTTTTAAGATAGAAACGTTCAACCCTTTAGCAAAATCAGTGTCACTGGACACTGATAAATGTTTTCAGAAAGAGAAAGGACTTGAATATGAAAGTGGTGTGCACTGGAGAGAACGAAGCGACATAAAGATTTTGTTACTTGTTATTAAAAGCTATCTTACTCCTTTATATATAATCATTATAAAATCAAATCAGCAACTTTACCTTTTTGAAAGCTTTCACAAGTTTCTTCTTGTCATAATCATCTGCAATGCCCTGAACAGTTGTTAGTGTCTTTCTTCCGTTTCGTTGCTGGATCCTTATATGAATGTAATCCTCAGTCCCCGCCGGGAGTAAGTCGTCGCCCTTTGTTGCATCAGCAAAGGGGTCTGCAGCAGGAAAAAGATTCATGTAATTCCCACAAAAGAAAACACCCAAGCTCAAAACCAAGAAGAAAGATTCTCACTTCTCAAAAAAAATTATTATTATATTCAGAGTATCATCTTGATGTTTAATCACTGTTTAAAAACACACTGTTAAAACCAAAGTGCTATTTCTACAGCTGCATAAAGCGATATTGCGCTACATACTTAGGACAGCCCTCTCAACTACCATGCACCATTTCTGCCATGCCTTCCTAGGTATGAATGATTTTCTGCTACAGTATTAGTTTACTTCATTGTTTCTTGCAAACTGTAAATCCTGAACCTGAAAACAGGTTTCTGAGAGAACATCAAACGTACATAAGTTTTAGACAGCTGCATACATTAAAGTGAAATAAAACAACTGTATCTCTTTTCAGATCAACTGATAAGAACAGAGAAACAGAAAAGCTCTAGAACAGACACCTCCTTACAGGTACAGAGCAGAAGTCTTAAACTGTGGCAACTACTACACTTCCAGCATGTTAAGTCATGGATGTAACGCTCGGCTATTAACAGAAATAAAAGAGAAATACACTCTAACAGATGTCAGAGGCTGCCTGTAAACCAGAACTCCTCCAGTCAGCAGCTTTAGTCAAGAAATGTAACAAAATTAATTTAGGCTTAGACCAAAGAAAGGTCAGCTCTCAAATTCTTCCAAGCTTAGCATTTATCTAGCACAGATAGAAAAGCCTTTAGAAAGAAGGGGGCTTCTGCATTAACACTTCTTATACTCTGTACTTCACAAAAACATGCTTAATACTCAAGAGATTTTACAGCTCTACAAATCTCCAGTAGCTCCAAATAAACCTTGAAGCATCAAGTACTTTATTACTTTTTAAAAATAATTATAAGTAATTTTTGGTACTAATCAGAACAATATTTAAGAGCCTATGTAGGTTCAACACCCATGCAAGCCACAGTTTCCCCAACTTCAGTTCAAAACTCCGATCTAAAAACACTGGTCAAGTTTTGCTATCCACTAGAAAGAAATGCCCCAAATGAGTAAAACTTCAGCAGAAACACACAAAAAGTAGTTCAGCTGCAGTCTGACAGATCCTTGTGGAAACAAGAGCATTAAAGGCACGGAAAGCATAATGAGGATTCAAGCACCACAGGAAACAAATACAGCATTGGGAATCTTGACCAACTCAACTTCTACTACAGAATTTGTAAAACCCTGCTGAATTTGACTGTCTCCCACAGTTTGTGGCTCAAACAATAACAGAAAATCTTAGTCAAAGAAAAAGTGGAAGAAGAAGAGGACTTGGGCATAAGGATCACTTGGCAGAGTTTAGGACTCTAGGACGCAGATAAGGCAAGACAGCTTGGCAGAGTTTAGGGCTCTAGGCTGGAAATAAGACAGCACTGTAGATGTCAACACTGGACCCCTTCAAACCAATCCTCTGGGCGGCACCTTCCTTAAGTACAGGGTGAGCTCCCAAATCATGACTGAACGTAACCTTCTCACATGACTTATACATGCAGAAGATCAGAGTCAAAACTGTGACCAAAAACCTGAGACTATTGTATAAAGTTCTAACTGGCTTACTTCTGCTGCTTATAGATAAGGCAAGAGGAGAACGCTGGCCCAGCACGGTTAAACTTCCCTGCTGATAGGGGAGAGATGATCTGCCAACTGCGTAGCTCACTCTACAGAAACAATAACCTTTGAAGGGCTTTTATAGCGTTTTGGGACATGGCTGAGGATAAGATGCTGCTGCAAACCAACCGTAACTGATGAAATTATTTCCTCAGCAGAGGATACGAGCCCTTGATCCGGGGTGTCAGAGCTGAGAACATGGCAGCACCTCCTACGGGAGCAGCGAAGGGCTGAGCCTCCCGCCCGAGGTCTCCTCGCCGCACACACCGAGCACGCCCCGAGGCCGGCGACGCGGGAGGACAAGGACGAGCCGCCGGCGCTGCCTCACGGAGCACCGCAGCGACGGCGACACCGCTCAATGTCACCGCGGGGGCGGGGGGCCCGCGGCCCTCAGGAAGGCGGAGGCAGGACGGCGGAGCCGGGGGCGATGGGTGGGTTTGCCGAGGGGGTGGCTGCGGGGTGCCGGCGACTCTTACCGAAGGATTGGAGGTTCTGGATCGAGGACATGCGACTCTGCGGCGAGAGGCTGGAGCTGCGGGGAAGCGAG